TGCAGCTAGAGGCAAGGCAGGACTCCCCTTATCTCCCTTTCAGTGACCCTTCCCACTTCCCATCCTGATGATCCACAAGGGCTCACATCAATCCCAGGGACCCTCTTTTGTAATAACCCTCCAGAAGACCCACCCTTCTAGAAGGCCAAAGAGTCAAGAAGCCCAGACTCCAGCCCTCTTTCCTCATTTAAGCCCTCTACACCTGCCATCCTCCTTTCCAAATACCCTGGTGCAGGTTTCTCAAGAGCAGACAGTAAGCTCATCAGGCACATTGATGTCTTGTGCCCCCAGCTTTGCCTCCTACCTGGGCAGATCCTTGAGTACAGCACCCACCCTCCAGGCAGGCTGAAGGAATGGGGCTCCAGTCAGAGACACAGGCCTACTCCTAGGAAGTTGGGTGACCCCCCTATTTGGCTCAGACTTCCACTTCCTCTCTCCCCGCCTTGGGAGCACTAGTACCTCTTTGGACTTGGTAAAGAAAGCTCGTTTAACTTCTTCAGCGCTGGCACCAGGATGCACGCCCAATAGTTCATAATAATTCCTGGGGCCAGACCTGTGGATAGAGGCCCAAACTGGTACCCTTCCCTGCCATCCCAGCCTCCCTGGGCCACACCCTTCAACTCAGTCACTAGGAAGGAGCTGAAGAGAGTTCAGGCAGTTCCCAAGACAGTTCTGTCCTCAGACCATCCCTCTTTTTCGGAGTGTTTCAGGGATGGTCTGAATCAGGATTCTAAGTGTAGTCCTCAGATCCTTGCATCACAAACACTTTGAACGTTTTTTTAAAACAGATTCCCAAGCCGGGCATGGTGGCACATGCCTGCCATCCCAGTTAGAAACACTGAGGCAAGAGGATCACTGGAGCCCAGGAGTTAAAGGCCAGTCTGAGCAACATAGGACGACCCCCTCTCAAAAACGACAAAGGTGCTTCTGAAGACCCATCTCATTCCTCCAGGACGGAACCTCCAAAACAGGGCCCAGGAATCTGCATCTTTGTAACCAACTTCCCCACTTCTGTGAGTTATGCTTGACTACCAGTGGAGTTATGGAAAGAGTATTGGGGTTTTGTTGGGCTCAAATTTCTGATCTCCCATTTAACTCGCTGATGACCTTGAGGCTCATCTCAGTCTCAGATGAGATTCTCAATGTCCTCAACCTGAAAGTGAGGGTTAAGACAAGACTGCAAGGTATCTATCTCAGCAAGCAAAGAAGCGCCTAAGCTGGGCAGGCCCTCAACAGAAACCCGCTGAACAACCGGGGGCCCCAGGAGCCCAACTCACCGCTGCCCAGAGGCCGCTGCGAGGAGCCGGGTGGGAGGGCTGCGGGGCCACAGCCGGCACAGGCGCAGGGGCAACAGGGGCAGCATGGCGGCGGGTGGACAGCTGGGGAAAGGAGCCCACCAAGAGGGGTGCATTGAGACCAGATCCGATCAGATATCAAACTCTTCGCGGCTCGGGCAGAGCGAAGGAGCCTGGCCAGGGGTTTCTTGCAAAAGAAGATCGAGGCAGGCCCGGGGGCGGCCTCCTACCTCAGGGTCAGTCCCCCATGTCTGGACCCGTCCCTGCCTCCAGGTCTTTCCAGGCTCTGGCTTACAGGTCTGGACCCCCGGAACCACCCAGAGTGATTGAAGGAAATTGAGGGAGGAACCACAACCAAGTCCCGCCCTCACTCCACTTACGAACTCCGCAGTCGCCGCCATTTCCTGCGCCTCCGCGGGTCCCGCCCCCGAGCTCTCATTGGCTTAGACTCAGACCACGCCCACTTTACCGGAAGGTGCGAGTGTGTGGCTAAACCCCGCCCCCGGCCCCTCGACCGGCTTTCTGCAGCCCGAGCCGCTTAGCAGAGGTCCCCGGAGCTGCCGAAATGCGCAGGCCCCCAGTCCCGGGCGGCAGGAGGGGCTGAGCCCGACCCTCAACGAGCCTTTTGGCCCAGCCGCAGCCCTTCGGTGCCGCGGAGACGGCTTTGGTCTGCTCAGCAGCGAGGCACGTTTCACAGAGCTGCTTCCACCCCGCGTTGTCTTGGCATGGGAGGCACATCTCTCATCCCCCCTTGCAGGGGGAGAAAACTGAGGCCGAGCTGATGTGTTTTTGTGTTTGTTTTTCTTTTTTTCCTTTTCTATGACGCGTTCGGTCTCACCCACCCAGGGCTCTCCCAGCGAACCCTCTGTCATGGAAACAGCGAATGCCAATGGAATCCAAGAATAAAGTTCTTTATTGTCTTCAGAGCTGTGATGACAGTCCCCCAGGGCTGGGACTCTACATTAACTCAGGTGGGACTTCCCCGAACTCGGTTGTAGAGAAGGATGGCGCCTTTGGCTGAGGGGCAGAGCTCAGCCCACATCTCCGTCTCCTGCAATCTCTGCACTCTCTGTGGGGAAGACAGTGAGACCCACACATCTAGCCCTTGTCTCCTGTTGGGGTTGAGCCTCAGAGCCCGCTGCACAGCACTGTTTATAGGGAGACATGTTAAGAGGACTTACCATGTTCCCTGGGCCTTTCCCTTTGGAGGAGAGTCTCTTTTTGTGACTTTGGAATAAACCTGGGAGTCTCCTGTACCAGCCAGTCCCACCCACCAGACATGCATCACCAGATTTCTTTGCAGGCCCTAACCCTATAGTCCAAGCAAGATGCAGAAAGTTACCCCGCACCTGTGTCTCCACAAAGATGATTCCTGTAGACTCGTGGGCCTCAGGTCCCCCACTCAGATAATAGTTCCTCACCTCCTCAGAAGTCAGGCTGCACCTGGGCAAGGACATGAGGATAGTTTGGGGAGCAGCTCAGTCCTGTAGAATCCCTATGGAACCCCAACTGTCACATCCCCAATGCTTTCCACCCATCTTCCCCAGGATTCAAGATCCTGTGTCCCAGAGCCCACTCACTGGACATAGAACTCGGCACTGGCACGGCCGGCGCTGGTCTCATTTCGGGCAATGCCCAACAGCAGGGGTTGGCTCAGGGTGAGCAGCGGCAGATTCACCTGGGGCAGGGGGTCCCACCTGTCAATGTCCACTGTCCATATCCTTGCCCCTCTCCATAGAGAACTGCCTATTACCCTTGTACAATATTTTATGGTTCATAGAACAAGTGTCCTGGATCAGAATATTAGATCTTGAGCTGCTAATTTTACAGATGGGAAAATCAGAAGCAAAGAGATTGAACAGATTACCTAGGGAAATCTCTTCACTCAAGGGAAGTGAATTTAGTAACAGATTCCCATTTATTCCTTTTTGAATCAACAATATTGTTTCCACTGGAAAGAGGAAGAACTTGAGGCCTAGGGAACTAACAACTAGAATTCCATTTTGATTATGCCCCGCTCCCTCAATACCAGCAGACCTTCCCTCCAACCCAGACCTATGGAATTCTAGCAGTTTCTACCCACTTCCTTCATGTCATCATGAGGGAAGGGCAACACTCCTCACTCACCTCATCACAGATCTCTTGTAGGACACTGGAGAAGAGCTCTCGTACCACCAGTTCCCCCGGGAGGTCCTTGTGCTGGGGGCTGTCACCAGGGCACAGAGCCTGTGAGAAGTCAGGCTCAGCCTCTGCTCTCCATCCTCTTCCCACCCTGTCTTCCCACTTGCTGGCCCCGAGGGCCTGGGTAGACACAGTGTAAGAGTCTTAGTGATCCCCAGGCCCTTCATTTTCCAGATGGACAACCAGAGGTCCAATTTAGGAATAGGTCACACAGGGGGTTGGGTTGGGTGAAGCATCTTCCTCTGCCCATTCTCCTCCCCCCCATGTTTCCTGGCCTCCCCACAGGTCTGTTGCAGATTGGGAATGTGAGAGGGTTGTGGGCAACAGAGGTGGATAGTTACTCCTGGGGGAGCCCTCTGAGAAGGTGCTGCAGCAGGGGTGACTCAGTTAAACACTAGGCCAATTTTCCCTTTAAGGTATGAAGAAAACAGAAGGAAAGGCTTAGCACTCCAGCTCCCCTGAGCTGTCTGGGACTTTTTGCATTTGTATTCAGCCTGGCACCTCACCTGAGGCTCAGGGTGCCCACCAGGGACATCCACCATCCCAGGGGCCTCGGCCACCTGCCAAGAGCGCCGCAGGAAGACAAGGAAGTCATCAGCTGTGATTAGTGCGGCACCCACCCCCAGTGGGTCTGCCAGATAGGCCTGCTTGTCACCCCAATCCATGGCTCCCTGCTGTTGCAGCCAGGAGGCTGAGCTGGCCCAATTGGTGCCCAGGAAATCTTGGTAGGAAGTAAGGCCCAGGCGCAGAAGCAGCTGTGGACCAGGAGAGTCAGTGGATGCCAGTGTAGCTGAATGCAGGCGGAACTTGGGGGCATTGAAGAGCCAGGGTTGGGCCTGTAGCCGGGCTTCCCAGATGGCAGCGATGGTCTTGTCCCCTCCTGGTAGTGGGCGACGGTCATGGGCTGGGCTCAGCTCCACTCCTACATGGTCCTGAGGCAGCCCCCCAGGAGGGCACTGAAGCAGCAGGGATACCTCAGGATCCATGGCCTGGACAGGGCAGCTATGGGGGAGGACACAGGTAGGCCTGTCACCCGTGGGGTGGAGGCAGGGTGGGGTGTTACACAGTCACCCCCTGGCCCAAGCATCTGGCCTCCTCGGACACATATCTTCTTGGGGTACCACCAACCTCGCTGAACCTCCCTGGCCTTGCCTTGGGTAGCTGGAGTCCTATCATCCGGGCAAGAGTCCTGAGCCCGCTGGGTGCCCACGTCTCGTGCTGCCAGAAATCCCTAAGACTCTTGGGCATCTCTATAACCCAAAGGTTCTGGGTCCCCCAAAGGCTCAAGTCCCCAATCCCAGAGAGCCTGCCTCCAACCCCTGACGCGCGAGGACCCCTCCCAAATCCGGAACCTCCAGCCTCACCGGCGCTAGTAACTTACCGGCCAGCTGGGCCCGCAGGCTCCGCCCCTTCCCCCGAAGCGGAAGTGCCCGCCCCTTTATTCCAAGGCTTCTCATTGGCGGGTCCTGGCGTCCTGGGCCCGTGGGGTCCGCAGCCCGGCCGCCGGCCGCCGAGGGTGAGCGTGTCCGAGGCTCCGGTGCGCACGACCTTTCCCGGAGTCGGTCGCAACGCCCGCCCCTCCTCCCCGGCCGCTTTGCCCGCACAGCGACGGGCCAGCGACGGGCCTGGGCCCCGGGGCTGCAGTGTGACCGTGGGCAAGTCTCGCCAGCCTGGCCCCAGCTCCCTGTGTGCACCGGGGGGGGGGGGGGGGGGGGGGGCGCGGGGGCGGGCCGGCCCGCCCCCCCCCCCGGGGGGGGGGGGCGGGGGGGGGGGGGGGGGGGGGGGTTGATGCTGGGAAGCGCCTCCAGCTCTCCCGCCGGGAGCCTTTGTGACTTTCTGGGCAGAGAGGGGACATGGGAGGGTCCTTAAAGCAGCTCCACATGTCACTGTTCCCCCACAGTTTCTGACCATGAACTCCTCTGGAGGAAAGAGGCAGGAAGCAGCAAGGCCCACGGGTAGAAAGGCTCACAGACCCCGGGAGCAGGTGCGCCCCTCCCCGCCTTCCAGTGGGAGGACAGGGGAAAGGACTCTGACCCCTGGTGGGGTGTGGGGGGGACTGATGAATCCCAGACACCAAAGGGACTCCGCTCCCTTTGGTGTTCCTCTGCCGCAGGTTGTTCAGGGTTCAGGGTGGGCTGCAGGGCGGGGTCGCTACTGAGATCCAGACCACCATTGGGCTCTTTCAGGACCCAGATGTGCAACTGTCCAAGGCTCTGTCATATGCCTTGCGACACGGGGCCCTGAAGCTGGGCCTTCCCATGGGGGCTGGTAAGTGAGGGTCTTGAAAGTTAGGGGAGGAGTGGCTGGAGCCCAGGGAGCAGTGGGAGGCACCACAGCCCCAGGGGAAGGTGCAGGAGGCACATTATGTGCAAGAAGGCCAGAGTGGAGTCCGGTATCTTGTCCCCTGGGAAAGGAGCCCTTGTCTGGGCCAAGCCTGAGTACATCTCATCCAGCCAAGTGGCTCAATAAACACCTATCCCAAGAGTGGGCACCTAACCCTCAAGGTAAAAGAAACAGAAACCTAGAAAAGAGAGACTTTCTAGAGGTCATGTGACCTCTAGGCCCAGCCTCTGGTCTAGATTCCCGTGGCTCCCCCTGTTAACTGTGGCCCTGGCCAGGGCAAGGGCAGCTCCTGAGCACCTCTCTGCCCTCAGATGGCTTTGTCCCCCTGGGCACCCTTCTGCAGCTGCCCCAGTTCCACAGCTTCTCCACTGAAGATGTGCAGCGTGTGGTGAACACCAACAGGAAGCAGCGCTTCACTCTGCGGCCAGGAGATCCCAGCACTGGCCCCCTCATCCGAGCCAACCAGGGCCACTCCCTGAAGGTGGGAGTGGTGGGGGACAGGTGGGAGAGCCAGATGGGACCCCTGTCAATGAAAAGGATCTCACTGCTGCCCATTCAACCACACATCCCAGGTACCCGAGTTGGAGCTGATGCCTCTGGAGACGCCACAAGCTCTGCCTCTGGTACTAGTACATGGTACATTCTGGAAGCACTGGCCATCCATCCTTCTCAAGGGCCTGTCATGCCAGGGAAGGACACACATCCACTTGGCTCCAGGACTGCCTGGAGACTCTGGCGTCATCAGTGGTCAGTGCCCCCCTCCACCTACCTGTTCCTACCCACTCTGTCCTTCCAGGTCCCCTTCAAGGTTCACAGCTTCCCTTGTCCAAGGCTGCCCTCTCCCTTGCATGGAACAGCACCCCTTCCCACCCCTCATTGTAGGACATCAGTCTGTCCAGATTTGTTGTCCCAGCCCCAATTGTCCCTATAGGCATGCGCCCAAATTGTGAAGTGGCTGTGTTCATCAATGGACCCCTGGCCCTGTCAGGTGAGTCTAGAAGCAGCACGGACTACCCTAGGCCTTTCTTTGAGGGGTAAAACATGGGTCACATCTCTAGTTCTGCCACCAGATGGAATCTCCTTCTTCCGCTCTGCTAACGGGGTGATCTTGACTCCAGGGAATGCTGATGGCTTCCTGCTTCCCAAGTACTTCAAGGAGGCCCTGCAGCTGCGCCCTACCCGTGAGAACTGGCCCCTCCACCAATATACTGGAGCTGTGCCCTTTGCCTGTACCCCTTTCCCAGCCCCCGAACCCAGACTGACTTCGATCTCCCCTTTCTCTAAGCATCGCTGCTTGCTCTCTATTGCAGGAAAGCCTCTCTCCTTGGCTGGTGATAAAGGGACAAAGTAGCAGAGTGGCCCCAAGCACAGCCTGAGAGGAAGGAGGATGATCCAACAATAAAATATTTATTTATTTTAAAAAATCTAAAAAAGTATCAAGAAACTCTAGTTTGAAACCAAGATTCTGTGTCTTTTAGCTATATCTGGTCTTCCTCGTGTGCTCAGGGACTCAGATAGGTCAAGGTTGTTGGCCTAGGCCACTTGGACAAGGGAAGGTTCTATGGGTCGGGCCCACCATCCCTTGCCTGGGTGAGGGCCCAGCCAGGGCTCTGGTCTACTGTGACAGCAGGTGAACATACCCAGCTTGGTGTGTGCCTGGAGAGAGTGTGGGACGAGTCCCTGTGGGTGTGGCCTGGGAGTGGCTGTGGCAGGTGGTGAGAAGAGCAGGGGCAGTCAGGCTGTCCTTAGAGGGCCTCATGGCCCCCCGTGAGCTGCAGGAAGAGGTCCTCGTCCAGCTCCTCCCCACGCGCCCGCTCACGAGTTGACAGGAAAATGTAGCCCCCAATGTACTCATGCACAATGCGGCAGCTGGCGGACACACAGCTGAAGGCCACGTTGATGTGCTCGTCAAACTCGATGGCCACCTGTGGGGCAGGTGGTCAGAGGGGTCAGTGGGTAGGTGGGATAATGGAGACAGCCCCTGCTCTGTCCCGATCAGGTTTGGTGCAGTGCTTGTCCCCTGTCCCTACGCTCACTCTGAGCCTACCTGCTGGATGTCCCAGTTGACATTCCACTGGCGCATGTTGCTGAAGCGCCAGGTCTTGACCACATCGCCCACGGCCAGGTCAATTCGGATCAGTCGGTTGTTGGCAATGCCCAGGATCTCATCTCTCCTGCTACCCTTGAACCTGACCCGGTGGGGGGAGGGTGTGAGCAAGGACTCCCCCCTGCACAGCCCAGAGCCCACCCAGACAGCACACCAGAGGAAGACCGCCGAGTTTACATCCCAGCTCTGGCCCGCCAGCTGGGCCACCTGAGAGTCATTTGGGTCTGTGCCTCCAGCTCCTCACAGGGCAAGTGGGGGGCAGAGTCACAGAAACAGCACTTGGAGCACCAGGCAAGTAGCCGATGCCTTTAAATCTTATTTTTGTCGGTGTCACTGTCACCATCATTCATTGTCTCGCTTATATCTTTGCACGTTTGGGAAATGAAGAATCAAGGGGCCAAGTTCCTGGGACACACCCAGTGTCAGCCTTGTCCTGCAGGACAGCTGACCAAGGCCCAGCGGGGGTCGGGGCTGTGGCAGAGCTGGGGCAGACACTGGGTCCGGCTCTCTTGGCCTGAGCTCTGTCCCTTGTATTTGCCAGTGTACACAGTGGGGGAGGGGACGCAATCCCTCCAATCAGGTCTACCCACAGAGCAGGGGAAGGTGACTGGGACCCACTTAGGCTAGCACACGCAGCAGCAGACAGCAGGTGAGGGCAGAGGTGACAGAGCCTACCTAACCAACACGTAGGAGATGCCAAAATCAGGCAGGGACTGCCAGGCCTGGATGAAGCGCAGCAGGGCCTCGGTCAGCGAGAGCTGGGCCACGTTCTGGTGGGCCTCCAGGATCCTCGGGGTGAGCTGTGGGGTCATACTGGTGAGGGACCAGGAAGGGTTTCCCTGCTCTAAAGTCCCGGAGACCCCTACCTGCCTGTCAGGGAGACCGAATGCTGAGCCTGAGAAGGGACAGTGTCTATTGTAGGGCCACCAAGTGCAGTGTCTCACCACTCAGCACATATGGGCTGAACAAGCCTGGAGGAGGACACTGACAGTGGGACTGTAACCCTTCCCAAAGAGCTCCTGGGGACACAGCAGGAGAGGAGCAGTGTGTGTGTGTCTTTCTTGAGGAGGCCTCCCGGTGGCCAGGTGAACTTCACTCCCACCCTCCTTCTCCCAGCACCTGCTTGGCCTTGAACTTTCGCTGGAAGCGGGGAGCAACAAGTCCGTAGGGGTTGAGGCCCTCGGCAGAGGCGTCAGGCCCCTGGGGCTGGTTGCCCGAGCTCCCGCCGCCTGCCCGCTGCAGGCTGAGGAAGGCCAGGATGGCCTGCACCTCGCTGGCGTAGCTGCTGTCCGCCATGGTGCGGCCCTTGGAGGCCAGTCGGCAGCCGGCCATCCAGTGGGCGTACTGCTGCTCCTGGAACGAGGAGGACGGGGGACGATAGGGGCCAGTGAAGCTCTGGACATCTACCTGTCCTGAATGCCACTTCAGTGCCAGCCAAAGCCCCTGCCCGGTCCCTGGTCCCAGCCCCCTCCAGCTTCAGCCCCACTCACATCCTGGCACCGTAGGTAGATCTCACTCATGCCCTCAGGGGAGGGCACTAGGAGTTTGATACAGAACTTCTGACCTGAGACATTGACATCGGGGACCACCTCACAGCCTGCAGGGAGAAGAAAGGGTAGGCTGGGACATCTGGGACCGGAGGCCTGCCCGAGAGGTCCCTGTGTGGAAAGGTTGCCCTCCACGGCCACCACAGGGCAGAGGGCACCTTCGCTGGTGTCCAGGAGGGACTGAGGCTCAGCCTGTGGGTGGCCCCTCCCGCCCCTGCACCAGCCCCCTCACCTTTGAGGTTGAGCTGCTGAATGGGGTCCCCCGGGGCCTCATCCTGGCTCTTGTAGTAGGACAGCGTGGTCTCCTTGAACACCACCCAGTGCTGGCGGTAGCCCTTCAGGGTCAGCTTCCGGGGCCTGAGGGTGTGTGGGCGGTTTGTGAGGGCGGCCTCCCTCCCAGCTCCCTCTCCATGTGGCTCCTGACTTACCGGAAGATTCGGAGATAATCCTTGAGTTCTGGGATTGTGGTGAGGCTGTCCTGGGGAGGTCAGGAGTCAGAGGGGATCCCCGGCTCCCAGCCCTTGTCCCTGACCCTGGCCCAAGCCCCAGCCCCTCCTTACCAGCACGTCCGTGGGCGCCGAGCCCTCCAGCTTCACCTCCAGGTTGCTCAGGGCTGCGTCCAGGTCATCCAGCCCCTGGTCTGCACTGGGCAGTTCGCCCACCTCCCCACTCTGGGACAGCTTGTTGATGTGGTACTGGGGGCACAGGTGAGGGGGACCTGAGTCCAGCTGCCAGCAGTGCCCGGCCTGGGCTTCCTGGTAGGTGGGCCCCATACTGGGAGGCCTTTCCTGCCTGGGGACTGGCCTGCACCCTGCCCACCCTGAGGTTCCCAGGCACCTGCAGGGCTGCAAACACCATCATCTCTTCCTCGGTGCAGTCGATCTCCTCCAGCAGCAGGTCCCAGCGAGCCTGCTCGTACAGCTGGGTCAGCCGCACCGGGTCGGCCTGCACAGGGGAGGAGGGGAGGCTGGGCGAGTCAGACGCCCACTGTCCCAAAGGCCTGTGGCCCTGCCCTCCCCACTGTGCCTGACATGGGTAGCTGACTGCAAACCCACCCTGCCAGCCCGCCATGCTGGTGCTGCCCAGGCAGTGCCACAGGTCTCTGCCGCAGCAAGGCTCGCCCTGTGCCAGTGCACAGCTGAGGCAGGGAGGGGAGGAGGCCGGTCCAGGAGCAGAGAAAGTGGTGGGAGACGGCTGCCTCCAGCAGCCCCCACCCAGCTCAGGGCCACTGACTCCCATGGTGAGGAGAGAAGGGAAAGGCTTCCCTGGGAGGGGACCTGATGAGGGTGACCCTGGGCCACTGGAGAGAAGGGTGACGGTGACGGAAGAGGACGCCCTTGGGAGGGAAGCAGGAGGCCAAGGCGTAAACAGGTCCCAGTTACCCACAGAGGTGCCTTCTGATGCTCTCTCAAAACTGACGCCAAGAAAGGCACACCCAAAAGGACAAGAGAGGGGACAGGAGCAGGTGGGAAATGTCAACGAAATCTGGAAGGGGGACTGGGGCGCAGGGGAGACCCTGGGCCTTCACACCCTTTCTCCTCTCCTGCTCTTCAGTGAGGCCACTAGAGAATAGCAAGAAATGGCAGAAAGTGCCCAGATCTTTGCTAAGACATAGCGCCACACAGCAGGGCCAAGGACAGGCTCCCACTCGGATCCTCTGGGGGAAAGGCCAAGAGGGACTGGGGTGAGGAGCTCCAGGGAGCAGGTCCCACCCAGCTCCCTGCAGCCAGGGGATAGCACACAGAGGCCCTGCAGGGTGATGAGTTGGGAGGAAGTTGGCCTACCCTTCCCCACTCACCACCCAAGACAGCCGTGAACTTTCCATCCCCAACCAAAAGAGGAAACAAAGGGGAAAACTTCAGAGCAGCAGCCCCGCTCCATCATCCCAGGAAGCCACCAAAAAGACACTGGTACTCAACACATGCTACTACACACAGATGCAGGGCTCCCAACTGGCTTTTTTTTTTTTTTTTTTTTTTTGTATAGGGGATTGAATGCAGGGGTCCTTAACCTCTGAGCCATATCTCCAGCCCTTTTTGTTTATTTTGAGACAGATTCTCACTAAGTTGCTTAGGGCCTTGCTAAGTTGCTAAGGCTGGCTTTGAACTTTCTGATCCTCCTGCCTCAGCCTCCCAAGTCACTGGGATTACAGGCATGTGCCACCGTGCCTGGCTTATGTTGCTCACCTTTAAGGAAAGCAACTGGCCTGAAAACAGACACCAAGAAGAACGGGGGTGGGGTGGGGGGAAGGCTGGGAGGAAATAAAGACCAGGTAGGGAGCAAAAGAAAACTTAAATACTTATGAAAATCCTTATACAGATAAATACCACATACACTCATAAAACAAAACCAGGAATATAAAATTACAGTGATTAAGATTGTGCTGCATTGGTAAAGAGAAACAAATTGACCAATGGAACTGATAAAAGTTAGACTTGAACATGCATGTTCACCTAACTTAGGGCAAGGGTGGCCCTGCAGTTCACTAAGGAGATGACACTCTTGTCATTAAGTGGCACTAGGCCAAGTGATGCTCATGTGTTAAAAAAAAAAAAAGTATTTGGACCTTTATCTCACACCACATCTAAATATCAATTCCAGGTAGATTACAGATCTAAATATGAAAGATAAGAGTGTGGTGCACCCACCTGTAGTCCCAGTGCTTGGGAAGCTGAGGCAGGAGAATCACTTGAGCCCAGGAGTCTGAGACCAGCCTGGGCAACACAGTGAGACCCTGTTTTAAAAACAAAATAAGAACCAGGCATGGTGGTGCACATCT